TTTTTTTTTTTTTTTTTATCATTACTCTTTTCGTTCCTAAATATCTGTCGTTTAAGGTTTTTCCACAGGAATTAAGAAAGTCATTAAATAACTATAATATGAGTAAAAAAAAATTACACAAGACTAAAATACTCTTATTCAATACGTATTGGGAAGGAAATGAATATGAAAGACACTTAGCCTCCACCTCATCTAATGCATTGAAAAGTTATGGGTAAATTTAGAAGAAAAAATATTAATTATATTTTAATTTTATTAAACGACAGATATTTAAGAACAGAATGAATAGTTGATTAGATAATGTGGTCAAAATGGTCACCATTGGATGAGTCATGACTTGCAAGATGTACCGATAGTGTATGATCATAAAAAAATTTATTTTTTTTTATAAGAGATGTAGCANAGATGTACCGATAGTGTATGATCATAAAAAAATTTATTTTTTTTTATAAGAGATGTAGCAGATAGTGTAATCATTTTTAACTGATTTAGTCATTACATGCGCAAACATTTGATTAGAATGTAAGACCGCGGTGATTCGAACGTGTAGCATAAGTGGAGAGAGAAAATGGTCCCCGAGCCTAATGGACATTACCATATTGGCTCAATTGCCTATGGATTGCAAGAGTTACCGATAGTATAGCCTTGAGAAATTTTTATATTTTTTATAGGGGTAGTGGGAAGCTAATGTGATGATTCTTATGCTCTGTTTCATAAGAAGGATGAGAAATAGAAGAGATACATTTTATAATCTTCAAAGATGAAAAATATGAATGATACACTTTCTTTTTTTTTGTATTTGGTTAGATGGATAAAAAATAAAAATTAATATTTTTTTTTGTGCTAGTTAAGATTAAGGGTAACAATCGAGTCGTGTCGTGTCAGATTTATATTGAGCCATTACGGATTTGTGTCAAATATTAGTCAAACCTAATTTAACTCATTTAACTCATTATGTCGTGTAGAGTTGCGAGTTAACCTGTTTATTTTCGTATCGAATTTGAGTCGTGTCATCGTGTTGAGTCGAAAATTTTCACCCTTAATTAAGATGGAATTTTTTTTTTAATTTAATTTTTTTTTATTTTAAAATTTATTTTTAAAATTGTTTAATATATATATGCATATTTTACCATTGTATTTTTATATGAATATTATTGTATTTTTTTACCATTGTATTTTTATATGAAATTAATGTATAATATATATATATATATATATATAAATAAATAAGATACATTTCAACACAAATAATTAACTTTTCATCCACTTTCCTTCCTATTTTGGAGGAATTGATTTTGGTGAATTGGAAATAACGTTAATTCATCCACTTTTTTATCCTTCCTATTTTGTTTTTTTACCAAACATGATATTTTATTTATCCTTCCAATTTTCTATCCTTTCAACTTTTAATCCTCCCACTTTTCTATCGTATCAAACGGAGAATTAGCTAATTTAGTCATTGCATGCCCAGTGCATTCGAAGATATCAAGCATAGGTGGAGAGAAGGAAAATGGACCCCGAAGACTGGGACCATGGTGCATTCCTATAGCCTAAAGTAACAAAATCATATACTGGATCAATTGACTTAGCAAAATACCGTAAATACATATCCTTTCCGTCGAGATTTCGCTACTCGTAATACTCCACAATCCAAACCTACCCCCTTTATCCCACCATGTCACCGCCTTCTGGTTGTTACATGCTAGTAAATTGAGAACCAACATTTTCATGCCACTGTGTGTGTGTGTGTGTGTGTGTGTGTGAGAGAGAGAGAGAGAGAGAGAGTTGGATTGCCAAACAATCAATATAATATAGGTTAAGGTTAGCTTCACATATAATCAAATATTACAGCTGCACCCGACATATTATCATCAATGTATGATGAGCTCTCACAAATTGTATCATTAAACGACTGTTTCAGAACTGCTCAACCGAAAACTAAAGAGATTTGAAATTAATTTCTTCAGCATCTCCTAGAATAAAAACATTACGGCTTTCACCCAGATGCAGTTTCATGAACTCCTTCATTTGCACCTTGTTTAACCAATAAATGAGCTATCATCTGCTTTAAAGGAAGAGCATAGTCCAGAAGAGCAGAAATCCTGGAACAAACTTGTAGAAGAAAAAAAAAAAAAAAATTCATCAATGCGGTCAATAACCATATTTCATGCTCTCATGAAACCTATAAAACACTTTAAAAAGGTATTGATGCATAAATTATATTATAGGTGGAGAGGTACAGTTTTCAGTTTTATTTTTGTCCTAAAGCCTTCAAAAAACTACTAATCAACGTCCACCCAAATTCACATAGTTTATCCTTACCAAATCTTTAACAGATGCGAGCCTGCAACACCGTTGAAAGCTCAAGTGTCCCCAAAAAATGCACTTTGAAACACAACACAATATTTCGTACCAAATCATAATTCAAGAGCGTATTTGAGAACCCTTTTTTTCCCCTTTTGATGTCAATACTGTTAAGTGACACCACGACGAAAAGTTAAAAAGTAATGAAAAGCATGACACTCAAATCAAATAGCCTTTAGCTAAGAAGAATTCTGTTTGAAAGGTATTGAGCGTGAAGCAGAGAAAAACAAAGGGAATTGCCTTTTACCTCCAACACTAATATTAGTCTCAAATTGGGTCCTCAGGTCCCGCTTCAAGCACATCCTAATCATATCAAAACCAGATATTCAAAATATAAACTGGGAAAAGAAACTGCCACTAAACTTCACCTGCCATGGTTAAATAAAATGGGCAATGCTGAGGAACCAACCTCACCACAGGCAATAGGTGGTAGTGTTCATCTCATTGCAACAAACACAAGCAAAGGACTCATCCAAACCAAAAAAGCCACACAAAGCCCCACTATCTTCACAAATTCTGCAATCCTCGGTGTAATTTGTGTCCTTCTACTTCAAGGATATCCCAAATTGCCAATCCATTGGATCCCCCCATCCTCCCCAAACCCAAACCCATAAATTGACGTATAAGACTAGCTTTGTAGCTGGGGAAGATCATAATCTAAACCAAGTGTAATCGGTGGATCACAAACACAGCAAATAGAAGTCGGTGCACTTGGTTCCAATTCAATCCTGTCACTACTTTGCAAGAATACAAACCTCTGCAGACACGAGAATCAGACATTGTATAACATACATCTACACCTGGATCAAACACAGGAGATTTTTTGGAGCCCCTAGCAATACGAAGAGATTGTCTGTCGCAATGGGCTGGCACGATAAGCTAAAGCTTCCAGAGTTCTGCATTGAAAAACAAGTTGACATGAAAGGGTCAGTGACAATGACGGTGTTGCTAGAGTAGTCTATCGAGGATATACTGGAAATTTCAGTTCTAGTAGAGAACTGTAGAGTCCCAGAACTACATTTTTGTAAATCTAGGGAAGTCGGGATTACTGCAACCATATCCTGAATCAAAGGGGAACTTTAAGTGGGAATTGCCACATGTATCACGCCTGGCAGCATTGATGGAGATGACATCAGGAGCAGCAAGTGTGGAGAGAATCATGGAGAGCCAGAGAAGGACATGGATGATTAGCCATGAATTTGTGGCTGGTGACATTGATGAAGGCTTAGTAGAGAGATTGGTAAACACGAAATGCGATGTCCACTAATCCAAGGTTGTTCTACATGAGCAATAGATATTTTAAAAAACAACAGGAGGGAAGTGTTCTTTCCAGTGGAGATGATTATTTCCAACATTCCTAAAACGTAGAGCCTATATTAATATCATGGAATCTAGCTAAAAGCCACTAAGATTTTCTAACAGAATATATAATTATAAGGGGCAAACTAGCAATTGCGAGTAAATATGGAAAACATCAGTCTTGTGCATTATTAAGGTCTTCATGAAACAGAGTGGTAAGGAAAATAATGGTCTTTTCAATATTACATTCGTCTTCAATCAGCTATATGTCTGACAGGCCAACCAACGAAGTGCAGGTCTGTATTGGGAGATATTTATTTACAGCCTAAGGCATAAAATAGGCGATGTCACAGTTGTACTGTTACGTACTCATTTTTAATATATTTTCATGTAGTATTTGAGGTAGTTATTTTAATAAGTGGGTTAGTGGTAGAGTATTTTGTGGGTAATTTCCTAGGTGGTTACTAAGATAGTAGAATTATGAGTCAAGTTAGTTATTAAGGTAGTTTTATGATCTTGTGTTTAAAGGTTTTTCCTATTGATGAAATGAATATGATGAATATTATATTGAACTTTCTTTTAAAATTTTGGAGATAGGTTCTTTTCGAATTGTTGGAGGTTCTCCCCCTCGAAGCGGGTTTTCTTCCCTCAATTCTATTTTTATATTTTCAAAATTTCTCAAAGTGTGCATGTAACAATTGGTATCAGAGCCGACAATCCTGTTAATGGCTACATCATCAGAGATTTTAAAGTTGATGCATGATGACTTTCAAAAGTCGTTCAAGAGATTGATCGAAGAAAACCAACGGATGATAAAAGGGATAAACAGACTTAGAGATATACTTCAAGAAGGGAATTTAAGTTTCGGTCAATATTGTCAATCAGTTGGTCATGAAGAAAAATAGATTATTTACAAGAAAAATTCAGAAGCGATTGAGGAGCCATCAAGCAAAGTGAATGTCAATATTGGAGAAAGTGAAAACAAAAGTTGGGGCACCATGAAGTTAGATGCTGCAGTCCACATGTTTGGTGGTGAGAATATTGACGTAGTTTACTGTTATAAAGATAAAGAAGTCGGTTGGCTGCCTCCTTTTCTTGCAACGTCTCTCTTTTCCTTTCTCTTTGTCTATCTCTTTAGTTTTTCTCCTCTAAATATTTTTCATCTTTACCATTCCCTTTCTTAGTTCCCCCCTCTACATGGGGGGCAGAATCAGTAGCAACCTTCTTGTGTCTTGGAAAAACAACTTTACTTTGATTCAGCTGCTCAATCAATAGATTGTTCATGTCTTAGAATTTTTTGTCACCTTGGGCTCTACTTTAGATGAAGATTATGAAGTCCTTTGGTGGCAAAACAAGATGGGTTTGAACCTTCAAGAGAGTTGAGTTTGACCAGGCACTCGAGGGCAAAATGTAGCACTGGTTGATTCAAGAAAGCTGGTTGGTTGGTCTCCTCATTTTCATGATAAATCAAACTTTGAGGACAAAATTCATTTAAAGGAGAATGAAATGTTCCATACACATTTTTAATATATATTTTTTTGTAGTATTTGAGGTAGTTATTTTAAGGGCAAAATCTAATTTACCCCCTTGTGGTTTGGGTGTTTTGCACATGACCCCCCCATGATTTGGAAATCAGCATTTTACCCCCTTGTGCTATGAGATAGTTACGAAGAGTTTGCTGTTACATGAGATAGTTACAAAATCCCAACATACTAATCAGGTGAAAATAACTTTAGAAATTGGTAAACATGCAACTGAGAAGCCACAAGAAAACATCACAGAATGTTAGAAAATTACTTATCAGTACTTTCCAGTTGCCAGTTTCCCTCCAACAGCTGAGAACTGAGATCTTGCCTGGTGTCTCACCCACTGTCACTAGGGACCAACGAATTCCACTTGTGGCATGATGCAATCAATACCTGGCAAGTTCTCCCAATAAGACTTTTCCGTGATAGACGAAATCTATAGAGAGGATGGTGCCTGAAAATAAATGTAACAGTAGTGCCCATAAACACTGCAGGAATGTAACAGTATGCCCCAACCTGTGCTGTCCAATGAAACAATTGAAAATACTTGAATTGTTGGTACAAAAGCAATATATTAAAGGATCCCTCCTTCATCCCCTTTACAGCATCTGTATCAAACTGATCAACACATAAAAGGTGAACTACATGGTTTGATCCTGGCAGTTCTGACTGCCATTAGAAATAGCACAAAGAAAGAATATTGCGTATTGAGAAGGAATTGCCTAAGGGCATACGGAAACAGGAAGTGACACTGGAAGAACCAATCTTGCAAATTCCCCTTGAATAGTACAAAATCAATAGAAGAAGACAGAACATGTAAAATACTAATGTCATTATATTACACTGAAGGTATCAACATCCCCACCCAACTGTACATAGCAACATGCCTAGCTATGATCTATCTCAACTTCTATCGGCACAATTGGAAGGCCTTATGTTATCAACTCCAGATGTCCAAATGGGGTATAACACCAATTACACAACAGCAACTAGGAACCTTCCATTCCTGACCATCGAATATAGCACTCTGGAAAATTTGATTTCATTTCTCTCTCTCTCTAAAGGGGAACCGGGGGGGGGTGGAAGGAGTGTGCAAATTGTTGCACTCCTAAAAAACTTGCACCAAGAGGTATTTCCCATATGCCCTCTTAACTGCAGAATGGCAGTTGATTTGCACTTATTCTTCCCAAATAGGATACAACAAATCCTGTACTTCCCATGTTTTGCAGAAAATTTCAACAACCCCAAAGCTAAACCTATTGCCAGAATGATGTTTGTGATCGGAGAACAAAGAATCTATTGTGGAAGTGACCACATTATTCCAATTCTTCAAAACCATTACTTCTTTTTCTTCCCTCAACCTCATCTCCTCAGAGTCCATTTTGTGTGGTTCGGGAGCAAACACAAAGCTCTATTCCAGAAACCAAAGCCCAAGTACACTAATTTCAACCATCGAGCGCACAGAAAGTACCAGCATCCCAACAAAACTGTAACTGTTCCAATATTTGAAAATGATCTTTCTCATTTCCACCTTGAGCCTTGGTAGCCATTGAGCTGTGTTCTGTACGGAAGCCTCACCTGCTTGCAAAGTTCATAGATTTTGGAGTGGGATTTTTGAACAAGCAATACATTAATCCATCCTCCTGAATTCTTCTACCTGACTTTCCCATTGAAATTGTTGTCAAGCAAGCAAAAGCCCTTCTCTGATGGAAGAAGCTTGAACAAAACAATAGGCAGCAGACAGAAGTAATGATCATCATCATGCATTCAGACCAGCCCAATTCTTGAAAGCAATAAGTGCTTCCATTTTCCTGAAGTTTCTGTTCCTCAATTTTGACACTTTGAGCTTCTTATGTTTCTCCATGAATGCTTGTTTGCACCTCCACTTATCAACAAATATCTTCATCTCCTGCGATTTCTCCACAACTTGCATCACTGCATCAAAGAAACCCCCCTTAACCAAAGCATACAGAAAGGCATCGGCCAAGCTATGATCTAATTTGAACCTCTTCCCTCCTTCGATTGAAACTTTTCTCTTGACCTCATTCCACAGCATCAAAATGCTAAAATATTTCTCTGCAGTCATATAACCATTAATGAGTGAAAGATATGTCTGTTCATTTGGTTCAAACCGAAGGAAGATCATCCTTCTGAACGTCCTCCTTGCATCTTCTAACCGCCCAGCTTTACAGAATGCGTGAATAATTGAATTCCAGTCATGTGTGCTCACTCCAACTCGAGGGTCCTCAACAACCTCATCCAAGAAGGCTGCCATCAGCTCAGGGCGATGTTTTTCTGTTAAGCCCGTCATTATGGTCAAGTAGCTCCCTTTCAAATCAGGTATTCGAGTTTCTCTCATGTCCCTAAACAGAGAAAATGCCGATTGAAAATCTTGGCTCGACATGGATGCTTCAATTAGAGCATCATAGGTACCAGCATCCAGCTGGAGTCCTGAATTACTTATTTCTGTAACCAATTGAGTAGCTTCAGCCGTTCGTTGCTCTTTGCAATAAGCCTTCAAGATTGAAACATAGACCCCAAGCCCAACAGAACCCCCTTGAGCATTCATTTCATCCAGAATGCTGTGTGCCTTATCTAATAATCCGAGATTAACACAAGCATTGATGATACCATGCCCAATAGATTTGTCAACCATGATGGTGGGGGTTTCCAACTTCTGAGTTGCAATTATCAAATTTGATAACTCCTTGATACTCCCATTTTGAAGAAATCCTTTTACCACTTCAATATATGTTTCTTCACTAAAATTTGAACCATGTCCATCCCTTTCTCTCAAACTACGTAGAATAGTTGCCAAAACGAGTTCCAAATTACCTGACTTCACATATCCACTAATCAAATTACAAAGAAACATCCTATTGTCAGAAAAACCAAACCCAGTCATCAAACCTTCTAACGCTGTAATCTTTCCTTCAAGCCCCTTCAAGGCATATAAATAAGCAAGAAAGCAAAAACTCGACTCATCTGGTCGAACACGCAAAACTGACATTGTTTCCACCACTTTCTCGGCATCACTTACGGATTCAAGCTCACGACAACAACCCTCAAGTGCCGCATTGCATGCGGACAAATCAGGTTTCATAAAATCCAACTTTTCTTCCTTAGCAATCCTACAACTCTCATGAAAAATCCGCAAAAAGGCAACAAAGCTACCACTTTTCCTACTAATTTCAACAAGTAAATTGCCCCATAAACTAAATGGCATGAAAAACCTATTCTTAAACATGGATTTGACCAATGCAAAAGCCGGGGTACCAGTATTCGCATCTTTCATTGAATTCAAAAGGGTTCCAACAGTTTCATGTTCTAAAAGTTGTGGGTTTTTTTCTAACAAAAAAACCGCAGAAGCAAAAGCTCTTTTGAGATTGTGGGTGTCAGTGAGTGAACACAAGTGGGTAATGAGAGAATTAGTGAGAGGCTTACTTGGGAATGAAGAGCTGTTGGTGAGAGTCTTGAAGGACTTCCATGCCTCGTCAGTGTTGTTGTAATTGAGAGAGGTTAGGAGAGTCGACTCAAGTGTGGCTTGGTGGTCTTGGGTTAGGGTTTTGGGGGTGGTTTGATATTGGGATTTTGGTGGGTCTGAGGATGGCTGTGAAGTTCTACTCAGAGCAAAAATTGATGGTTGCAGAAAAGAGTAAAGAGTTGGGATACCAGGTTCCGAAGAAAACCGTCTTTGTGCAACCAAAGAGAGAGCTCTTCTCCACATTCTCTCTCTCCGTCTCCCCCTCACCCTCACCCACACACACACACATAGACTAACACAGTCCCTCTCCGACTCTCGTTTTGTTTTTGTGTGTCTTATATCAAGTATTGTAATTGTTGATCTCCAAAAGCATAAGCTGGAATAGCTCAGTTGGCTAGAGCGTGTGGCTGTTAACCACAAGGTCGGAGGTTCGAGCCCTCCTTCTAGCGACTTTTTAATTTTTTTCAACTATCCCTCAGATTTACACTTATTGCACTTCGCCCCTCGATATTTGGAAGATATTTGGAAATTCACAGTGCCATTCAAACATAATCATGTAAGAGCAATGCTATTGAGACCTAATTTATTGACATAATTCACTATAATCTTTAGATTTACTATAGACTCCATCAAATATTGAAACTTAGTGTTGATCAAATAATTTCTATGAAGCCACATTATTATGTCAGTAAATTAGGTAAGATTTTTAGATCATTTGGATTCACTGTAGACTCCATCAAATATTGAAATTTAGTATTGATCCAATTATTTCTATGAAGTCACATCATTATATCAGCAAATTATATTAGATTTTTAGGTCCAAATAATATTACTATAATTTTAAATGAGTTTTGAACTCATGTGAAACAAATTATTAGAAGTATAACTAATAGGATTTAAATGTAAGATTATTAATTTTTTTTAGTCACCTTAAATGTAAGATTAATTGGTCATTTTTGTGAAAGGTTCTTTTGCAAGAATGAGTGAATCGAAAAGTTTGGTTAGGGCCAATATGGAGGGTTAGGTCCCATTCAATATTTTTTTTAATTTTATTTTTTGACAAATTACTTATTATACATTCAAGTAGGACTTATCATATATAAATGAGTCATTCATTCATTAATAATGAATAATTTATCAAGAATGAAATTGAAACTAAAATAATTTAGAGAATATTTGAATCTCAGAGTAAGGGTCATCGAGGAGCAAATCAAGCTATTTAGATTCTTCAATGTTAATAAGTAAGAGACTCACTTATATATTGATGGGCCGGCCCAAAGCCCAACACAAGCTATAGGGGGGCCAACTTGAATAAAGAACCCACATGGGCAAAACCCGATGGACCCAGCCCAAAAAGAGATTCATGTGTAGTCAGGCTCATCAAGGCTCCAAGAGCTACATCATCAAAGAGTAGGCAGTGTCATCCAAGTCACCTTGGAGTAAGGACCACGTCATCTTAAGATTTGGTCTTGAGGAAAGCCCCGCAACAGTCTCATCCGTTGAGAAGATCATGTCACCTCCACCAAATTAGCCTTTTAGTTACTAATAAGTCGCCTCAATCTGTTAGGAGACACTTATAAAATGTAAACCCCGCCTACACATGGGGGGCATCAAGCACATCTGACATCACTCTCATCTCTCTCATAGCTTGTACCTCACTTGAGCGCTCATTGCTCTCATATAATCTCCTTACACTCATACAGTAATAAAACACTCAGGTCATCTTAGTCTTTCACAGTGGAGTAGGTCACCTTGACAGAACCACTTAAATTGTGTCTTGCTTGAGTTTCTCTCTCTATTTTATTATCTACATTAATTACTTGACAGTGGTGTGCAAAATCAATTTGTGCATCATTAGGTTGGTGCTGTCTATGTGAAAGACAATGTTTTCACTCAACCATCTTTTTTTGGTATCAATGGCAATTACCACTAGATCCATGAATTAACATGAAGATAATCCACCACGTGAAGAAGAAGTTGCCCCTCCGCCAGCCTATCCTTTTCCAAACCCGCAATAGATGCTCGAAACGATGCAATAACTAGTAACCTAGAATCAACAAATTTTGTAGTTGATGATCGCTGGACAAAGAAGTGTGCAACCAAGAGAGCATGAAGCCAGGGGAGTTCCTCGCCCAGGGAGCCAAGGAGGTCCTCATTGGGCGCCCCTTAGGAATCCCCTTGGGTGCCCCTTTTAGGGGAACAACTCATCAACACCACGGAGCAGCTCCTCCTCTTCCTCTTCCAGCTCCCACTTCCCATGCTGGAGATCCTCTTTTTCAAGAGGATGAGGGGAAAATCAAAGAGTGGACCATGGGGAGCCACTTTCATGACCCATCCAAAAGAGTCCCCAATCATTGGGATGAGAAAATCAAGGAAGTATAGAATCAATTGTGTGATGTTTTCAATGCCATGAAGGCGCAAGGACCGAAAATTGTTGAGTACCTTGTAAGGCGAACTAACATGCCTTTCATAGCTGATGTAGCTTATTATCCCCTTCCTTAGAAATTCAAAATATAATCGGTAGAAACGTTTGATGGCACGAAAAGACTCACTGGATTACCTCGACACTTATAAGTCATTGATACAGCTAAACAATGTTCCTGACGAAATCATGTGCAGAGTCTTCCCAACTACCTTGAAGGAATCTGCCCGACAGTGGTTCGCCAAGCTCACCCCGTCCTCCATAGGCAATTTTTGCCGAACTAAGCAGGTCCTTTGTGGCGCATTTCATTGGTAGACGGCACCATCAGAAGCCTGTCACCCACCTACTCAGTATAAAACAAGATCGACATAAGAGTTTAAGAAGTTACCTCACTTGTTTTAATGAGGAGGTCCTCCAGATTGAGGAGCCCGATGAAAAGGTCATCATGACCGCCTTCTTGGGAGGTCTCTGCTCATCAAGTTTCCATTTCTCAGTAATGAAGTGCCTACCAAAGAGCATGCTAGAACTGTTGGCAAAAGTTCAAAAATATATGAATGCTGAGGACATTACCAAAGCCAAACGAGGTGAATCCTCAAGAGCAGGGAAGAAAAGCAAAGAAAGAGATGGAGACGACAAAAGGGAGAGTGGAAACAAACGAGACAGGATAGAAAGGGTGTCTGCCAAAGGCTGACTTGGTCCTGCCCCTTAGAGGGAGCGACAAATCTTCACTCCACTCAACGCCACTATTGGGCACATCCAACTTCACATCCAGGATAACCCCGCAATGAAATGGCCATGAAAGGATGAAATCTCCCCTAAATTGTCGAAATTCAAGCACGTATTGTTGCTTCCATCGCGACCATGGCCATGACACTGACTATTGCTATGAGCTTAAAAGAAAGATTGATGAGCTCATACAACACGATCAGCTACGCCAGTATATCGTTGGCAAAGGTCAAGAACCACTGCCAACTCGCAACCAAGATGAATAACAACCTCTTGGAGAAATCCAAACCATCTTAGAAAGGCTTGCAAGAAGGGGGAGAGTCTCACTCATCCATGAAAAGCCATGCCAGAAAAGCTAGACACACCGATGATCTGCGCCCATCCAAGTCACCTAGGTAGGAACAGGGTGAGGTCATCTCTTTTTCAGATAAGGACCTAGAAGAAATTCAACACCCCTATGATGACACATTGGTGTTAACTATGACTGTGACCAACTTTCAAGTGCGAAGGATTCTCATAGATAGCGGCAACTCTGCGAACATCCTATTCGCAGAAGCTTATGACAAACTCCGTCTTGGAAGAGAGAGGTTGTAGCCCATCAGGTTGCCCCTTATTGGATTCTCAAGGGAGAAAGTGTACCCCCTAGGATCCATCACATTGACAATCACCGCCAGCACAACACCACGAAGTTCCATTGTGATAGTGAACTTCTTGGTAATAGATTGTCCATTAGCCTACAACGTCATCTTAGGACAACCCGCTCTTAACACCTTAAGAGTAGTACCCTCTACTTACCATCTCATCCTCTATTTTTCAACCCCAATTAGAATTGGAGAGATCCGAGGAGATCAAGTCACAGCAAGAGAATGCTATGTCTCCTCTATGAGGGCCAAAAAAACCACAAGAAGCCCTATAGGTGGAGGTGTTTGACCCCAGAGATAATGATACACTAGAGAAAGGAGAGCCAGTGGAGGAGCTCACACTAGTAGTCCTAGACAAGGAGCATCCATAGAAGAGGGTGCACATTGACTCTTTTCTCCCTAAGGATCTAGCCCGCTAGCTCGTAGATTTCTTAAGGCAAAATATGGATATCTTTGCATAGACACATGAGGACCTTGAAGGCATTGACCTTGAGGTCGCCACCCATCGCCTCAACATTAATCCCCTTTACAAGTCTATTCGTCAAAAATTGAGAAGTGTCTCCACTGAAAGGACGCACACAATGGATAAGGAGGTTGGAAAATTAATAGAAAATGGAGCAATCAGAGAAGTAGTCTATCTAAACTGGCTATCAATGTGGTAATGGTAACCAAGGCTGGTGGAAAGTGGCGCCTTTGCGTCAACTTTATTGAGCTCAATAAGGTGCCCTAAGGACAGCTAACCGTTGCCACGAATCGACATCCTCATCGACGTCACTGCTGGTTATGAGTTACTCACCTTTCTGGATGCGTACTTCAAATATAACCAGATCAACATGTATCCCCTAGATAAGGAGAAAACATCTTTCATTACTCCAAAGGGAACCTACTGTTATAGGGTCATGCCCTTTGAACTAAAGAATGCAGGAGCGACATACCAGTGGCTAGTGAACAAGATGATCCAGTCACAAATTGGAAGAATAATGGAGGTATATGTGAACGACATGTTGGTAAAGAGCCTCGCCGCAACAGACCACGTAGATCACCTATAGGAGACTTTTGATGTTCTCAGAATGTACCATATGAAGCTGAACTTTGAGAAGTGCGCCTTTGGTGTCGGATCAGAAAAATTCTTGGATTTTATGGTCAACCAAAGGGGAATCGAAGCAAATCCAGATAAAATCAAAGTCATTCTAGATATGAGACTAGCCACCACAACCAAAGAGCTCCAGCGTCTCAATGGAAGAATTACAGCTCTCAACAGATTTGTCTTCAAGTCTGCAGACAAGTGTTTGACCTCCTTTAGAATTCTTCGGAAAGCCTTTGAGTGGGGCCTGACGTAGAGAAAGCCTTTCAAAAATTATAAACCTATCTAACTGCGACCCCTCTCCTCTCTCATGTCATGCCATGCCAAGAGAATCCTTATACTTATTACCTCTCTACCTCTTCATCTGCAGTAAGTTCAGTCC